TATTTAATCCAGACTTCTAACTTTACGTCTGCAAAATTTTAAAGCAATCGGCTTAGTAGTTACGGCGTGAAAACGAAACAAACTCACTTTCCGATTTATAACATTAGTAAGGACTTTATAACATTAGTTTATTATTATTGTTTATTTTTCTATACTACAAGACCGAAAGAGCTGAAAACAAATTTTATCTTATTTTATTTTATTTTTAAATTTAGAAAACTTATGTATGTTTAAAAGTTAAAGTTATATTATGTTAATAAGAAGTAATAACATTCCATCTAGTGTCATTAAATCAGAGTTTCATTTTCTTATATCTTAAGTTGATTATTATATTTTAATTTATTACAGCTCTACACAGATTTCTACTCATCAGACATTATTGTTACGTCACCATTGGGTCTACGAATGATAGTGGGCGCGGAAGGCGAGGACGACCGTGACTTCGACTTTCTGGCTTCCATAGAACTGTTGATCATGGATCAAGCTGATGTCTTCCTCATGCAGAACTGGGACCACTTGCTTCACGTCCTGGATCATTTCCACTTGCAACCCAAGAAAACTCATGGTACTGACTTCTCTAGAGTTAGATCTTGGGCTGTTAATGGATGGGCCAAGTACTACAGGTTCGTTTTTAGAATTATTTGTTCAAATGTAAGTGCATGTTTTGCTAGGTTTGCTCCTATATACAAAAACACTATTAGTCAAGTAATAAATAATATTCAAGAATCTATGCCAAAGTGAAATGGACCATTGTTTTCAAATGTAAATAAAAAAACACACTTAGTTGTAACAGAAATCATATTTTGTTATGTTTCTTTTACAGACAAACTCTAATATTCTCGTCAGTAGCGCTGCCAGAAATAAAGTCTGTGATCAATAAGAAATGCCATAACTACGCTGGCCGAATATTGGTTGAAAATCCCACAGACATTGGCAGCATACAGCAGGTTCTGGTGCAAGTGCCACAAGTGTTTCACAGGTAATTAATGTGATTTACATTTTTATTTTTAAAAGTACACAACTTTCATAGGCACGGTGCAAGATATATCAATATATAATAAAATGGTACTTACGACAATTCAGCGATCACGACGGGTTGCGTAGAATAGACTAGTCGTTGACTACTTGTTGCTCAAACACTGGTACAGCCTCTGTTTCATTTCAAAGAACTTCGACAACTCACCACGCGCCTCCCACTAAAACTTGCCGTTTTCGATATGCCATAATTTCTATAGTACTTAAGGAAGGTTTATTTTAAAATGATTTATTCTCAGTATCTTCACCGCGCCTTCGCCGATGTTCGCTGGGTCTAACCGGTACCTGAATTTACTGAGTACAATAATTTATTGACATGGTCAAGTCGAATAATAATTGTATGTAATACTTCCTTAACAGGTTTACAGCGGCAAATCCCCTGGAATCAGTGGAGGCTAGGTTCCACTACTTCATCAAGGAGATTCTACCCAAACAGAGGGACACACTAATGAGCCACACACTCATCTATGTGCCCAGCTACTTCGATTATGTTCAGATTAGGAACTACTTCAAGAAAGAAGATATTGGTTTCGTACAGATTTGTGAATATTCTAAGGTAAGCTTGTTATCTGATGATTACAGTTAATAACGGGTAAATATAACTTATCGCCTTGTGTTTCCTGGAGGGGTGACAGACATGCAATTTTCGGCAGCATTGTTATGAGTCCCATGTAATTTAGGTAGCGAGCATTTTGCCATGCGCCGGTTACAATATCAGACGTCGTACTAAGAACTTGAAAAGCCGAAAATAGCTCAATAACACTTCGTCCAACTTGGGAATCGAAACCTAGACACCTTGCTCAGCAGCCGGACTTCCGACCATTCGACCATTGCGGAACCTTTAAGTAATTGTATATACATATATAAGTTGTTTTATCTATGTTCCAGGATGCCAAAATAGCTCGTGCGAGGGACATGTTCTTCCATACAGAAGCTCACTTCCTGCTGTACTCAGAAAGAGTACACTTCTTCAGAAGATTCAGAATAAAAGGCATACGACACATTATATTTTACCAACCGCCGACGTATCCTCACTTCTTCTCCGAAATGTGCAATTTGATGCAGGTAAGATTGCATATTACTATTAGAATATATATTTTTCATATTTTCCAAGTAGTACAAGCAAGAGAGCATACTACATTAATATTATCTGAAATATTGATCTGCAAATTAATAAACACTTCAATTTTATAACTAAACCAAGTTATCCTTAAACATTTCAAAATTATCCAAAACGAAACTCGTACGAGCCTTGGCTTCACCCAAGGGTCTCAAGATCCTAATTGTGTTAACTCGTCGAGTACCGGTTTTGTAGACACAATTATAGAACAATAGGTTGCGGTCACCGGTGACCGCTTGGTGTTTAACAGTTTAATCTACTTCCCCTTATCATACAAATTAACTTTGACTTAAATATGTTTCCAGGAGGTGAATCAGAACAAGTTTGGCGGCAGTGAGTGTAACATGACAGTGTCGGTGTTGTACTGCCAGTACGACTTGCCTCGCCTCGCGGCGGTACTCGGCGCCGCCCGCCTCGCGCGGGTCATGCGATCTGACAACTCCGTGCACATGTTCGTCACAGGAGAAAAGTAGCCAGCATTATGTAAATAATAAATTGTACATATTATTGTATTTGCGTTTTTCATTGCATGACTAAAACTAATCGATTCGAGCATTGTCCTCAAATCATAAAAATATTGGAAAAGAAAACTATTCTACAAACAAACTATTGTTCATTGTTACATAATATAACATCACGCCTTTTATCTCCGAAGGGCTAGGCAGAGGTGCACATTACGGTACTTAATACCACTATACAATGTAACACCCACTTTTCCACTGTTTATGTTATGAGTCCCATGTAATAGGTGGTGACAATTCCAGACTCTGTGACGATTTTTTTTTGTTAAAAACCCAGTAGCAGCAGTTGTCCATTATAATTCATACAAAATTGACTTTTTCCAAATGTCTTACACACTCTGTGCCGCCCTCTGGTTGATTGGCAGATAATGCGGGATAGTATCAGATTATATTACGGTAGCAGAAAAACTCACAATATTATCAAAGATATATTTTTTAAATTAAACAGTTACACGACAAAACAAATAAATTATACTTATAAATAAATAAGGTACATTTATAGTTTTAAATAAACATCTTCATAATGCGTCTATATTACGAAAAATAAGGCTAAGGCATTTTCTAATACAATATTGATCTAATACTCAGCTAAGCTACATAATACCTATTGTTTATAATTATTATGAGTAATACAAGTCTCACTAAGCCACTAAGAATAATATTTGGAAAATGTATCAGTGTGCCCGAGTCCATTGGTATTACATACGCATTGAGCTAAAACACACTATAACTAACAGAAGTATAATATACGCTGTATGAGTGCGCTGTAACTGCTATTAGTCTAAGATCCCGTTATAGAACGACCTTCACCGAGATGCTTATTTAATGAAACGTATTTTATATTTAATTTAATATGTCAATAAATATAATCCATATGGGTTGCCTAGCAAATTTCAGTCCAGAGTATGTTTAATTAATAATTAAAAAAAAATATTTTTTTAAACATTTCACCGGTATGATTATTAGATAAATTCTATACCAATCGAAAGTATGAAGCCCATAGAATACACAAACGTTAGGTTGCCTATTCTTTTCCGGTCACAACTATCGGGTTGCCAGGTATAAACAGGTAAATCTGTACTAGCATTTTGCAACGTTCTGTTTATTGGATGAAATTTAAATCAAATTAAAGATTATTTTATTCTGAACACGGTGGTATAGGGTTGCCAGCGAAAAATAAGTCCAGAATTGCGGTTGTCGAATTTTAAAAAGTTAAATATTGCTCCGAGTGAATGTGTGCGACTGAGAGGTCCCAACCAACCATCCCATGCGATAGAAGAGGACACAGCATAGCAGCTGTGTAAAGTCCGGCCATTTAAAGAAAGAGAGTGCGCATGCTCTTTGGGCTTGGAAAAGAAAAGGATAGCGATAGACTATGCATCATTTTGGAGTAGTTTATTATTAAAATAGAGAAAAAGTTATTTATTAATTTTTTTTATCAATTAATTATTTATGTGTATATTTTTTATGTGACACTGAAGTATATATACATCTTTAGTAAAAAAGAAGGTTATAGTGATACATATATAATACTACTCTAATAATTAAAAATATTGATTGAAAAATATAAGAAGAGACAATAAAAAAAAACAAAAATTAAAAAATTACTTCTATTTATTGTAAAAAATTAAAAATACATTTTTTTTTAAATTATTCGGAAAAAAAAAAAAAAAAAAATTTTGCGATTAAATGAAAATGTTTGATATAATAAACTTCTTGATAAGAATAGTTGATTGAAAACATCCTCATTAATTGTTACAAAAAAAAAAAAGAAATCAGATCTTTTTCTTGTTTAATTTATAAACTAGTGCCCAGGAGTATGGACTACATTCGTGCCAAGTTTGGTCGAAATCTATTCAGTACTTTTTGACTTATGCGTGCACATACAGACAGACAGACAGACAGACAGACAAAAAAAATACTTATTGCATTTTTTGGCATCAGTATCGACCACCAATCATACTCCAATATTAATTTTAAAAATATGTTCAATGTACAAAATTGACTTCTCTACAGTTTTATTATGGTTATAGATTGCCATTTTTAAGTAAATTACAAAAAAATTATGTATGTCGAAAATTAACAAAACCATAGGCGAATTTTACTAACAATTATTTAAACATGAAAAAAATATAGAAGATGTATTAGCTAAGATAATTTTAAAGATTCAATTATTATGTACTTACTGTATATTCAACACTAAAATTAAGAAATTCTTCGTTATATTTTTTATTCAAAACGGTCACTTTCTTGTAGCACGTGGTATGATAACCTACAAATTGAAGAGACGCACTGGGTAGCTCAACAAAATTGTATTTAAAGTGTTTTTTTTTACGAAAAGCTAACTTTAATACACAGTTTTTGAAAGTTTCATCATTAAAGTCAATTATTTCACCATCCGATCCACACAAAAAACACTTTTTTGCCATTTTTTCCAACAATAAATAGTAGCACGTTTTTTCAATTGTATTTATAGCGACACTCTACTCCAAAATGATGCATAGTCTATCGCTATCCTTTTCTTTTCCAAGCCCAAAGAGCATGCGCACTCTCTTTCTTTAAATGACCGGACTTTACACAGCTGCTATGCTGTGTCCTCTTCTATCGCATGGGATGGTTGGTTGGGACCTCTCAGTCGCACACATTCACTCGGAGCAATATTTAACTTTTTAAAATTCGACAACCGCAATTCTGGACTTATTTTTCGCTGGCAACCCTATACCACCGTGTTCAGAATAAAATAATCTTTAATTTGATTTAAATTTCATCCAATAAACAGAACGTTGCAAAATGCTAGTACAGATTTACCTGTTTATACCTGGCAACCCGATAGTTGTGACCGGAAAAGAATAGGCAACCTAACGTTTGTGTATTCTATGGGCTTCATACTTTCGATTGGTATAGAATTTATCTAATAATCATACCGGTGAAATGTTTAAAAAAATATTTTTTTTTAATTATTAATTAAACATACTCTGGACTGAAATTTGCTAGGCAACCCATATGGATTATATTTATTGACATATTAAATTAAATATAAAATACGTTTCATTAAATAAGCATCTCGGTGAAGGTCGTTCTATAACGGGATCTTATACTATATTGTACTGTAGTACAGTGACCAGCAAGCCAACCTATTCCTCTCTGTTAATCTTTTTATTCGATTTTCAACTTTATTTTTACGACGTGAAGTCCAGAATGATTGGAGTATCCTTTTCTGTCTTACTCTATTACATTTTCAACATTATCGTATTGACATAAAGTCTAAAATCCAATTAATTGTGACAGATTGTAGTAGGATGATCTGCTGGCCATTGTACTTTGTAACATAAGTTATGTGTAATGAAATGGAACGTAATCATATTTCGGAATCATTAAGTAGAGAAGTAGAGCACAATATTGGCCTACAATATATCCTTACATCTAAACTAGGCTATAAAATATAAAAATATTTCTCAAATTGGACTACCACCAGAGATCAGCGCGTTCAATCACAAAACCAAACAATCTCTTCAGCTTCATAATGTATAAATATATAAATGTAAATTTAGAATAACATCAGCTAGTTTACCTAGCTATAACAATTATATAGCTTGTATATAATGAGAAGAGCAATGATTCTGTGATAACATTGCAGGGTGGAAGTGTCATTAGCAATTAGCATCTAGTTACATTGAGTTGTATAACTTACGTTAGGTACTAGTTAGGTAAGTATTAGTTCATAGAGCTTTAAAGAGATTCAGACCTACTGAAAGCATTTTGTGACAGGCATAAATATTATTTCAAATATCTAAACAGGCAACAAAACTAAAACTATTAATACAAGAGACACCTTAAATCCTAAGCTTGATTTTGCTTAACAGATCTAGTTTTGACATTGTTATGGCCGTAATAAATGGACATTTTCAACTGTGAGATCTAAGAATACAATAGGTATAATTATCTAATAATTTTATGTTTAGTTCAAAATTGGTATTTCGTATCAGCCTTCCGATGTTATTGGCGCCAAAATATTTAGTACCAATTTATTTATGCCAACATTCGATTTTTCGCATTTATTCCTGTAAATACTAAGATCGATACTACATTATATTATGTAGGTAGCCAGGTAGATACTTTATAAGCAAGTTAGCTTCAGTAAATTGAGATTAGAAGCGCTACGGTGGGCGGCAAGGCTCGTCTTCCTAGGTAGCACTCAGCCCAATAAGACTGAAATACGCCAGATATTATGTAATTCCTCTCTGCGTAGGGGCTGGGGATCAATGAATATGTTTATGCCATGATGCCATCGTTCTAATGTAGGTAGGTAGGTTGGTAGGTACCTACTTTTAAACAATATAGTGCTATAAAAGGCTCGCCCATCTCAATAGATAGATAAGTACAAACACCTGCACTAATGAGTTATTATAGTAAATGTACATAAGTAAATTGGCCCTATTACACTACTGTGGGCGAGGCATACCTAACATTTGTCCGATTGTCAAACAAATGGTAGGTATGCTTTTATAGGTAAGTACCTACTTACATCTCAAACTATTGTGACCTTTAATTTGGAATGACCTATGTAATTTTAAACGAGAAAATTATTGACAGCAATCGAATAAGTCGAGTAAATGAATGCTTCTGCACACTTTTTCTTTAATATCACACTGGTCTAAAATAGGTTAACACCTACATTATCTATATAACCTGGTAGGTACCCATCTACAGGCTTTAGTATTTTAAAGCATCTTCCTTCCTCCACATGCAAGGGATAAAGGTCATTAACCCAGCTATAGAACTATTACCGTTTCATTCCATATTTTATACACTTTAGTATCAGGAATCAGACACAAAATACCTGCCACTGCCTGCCAGTAACAATGTACGGTACCTTCTAAACACATTATAATCTAGTGGTGTTACTTCGTTTATTGGCCATCAATCACGATTATCTAATAAATACCTATCCTACGTCTTACATTATGGCGTTCACTGTCACTGCACCAAATTCTGAGGGGTCACAAATCGATGTCAGTTATAATTCATAGCACGAGTTTACCCAAAAATGTACTTGACTAGAGTGACTATTGGTACTGACTAGTAAGTTGTTGCCGCTTGTACAAGTCTATCTAATCTCCTCGCGTTCTGAGTTCGTTAGTTTCCGACTTAGTGATCGTCATGTGATGCTATCAGTGACGTTTAATGTGCTCATCTCTGAGGTTCCATTGTGCAGTCCCGAAGATGTGGTATCAGGTAAAGACGTGTCGACAGTAGGCCCCACGCTGCTGTCGGTGACAATGTCCTCGGGAAAGCCACCGGTGATGTTCTCCGGTGTCGATTGAATGATCTCACCATTCACTGTGGTATTGCCTCCTCCTGTAAATATAATATTACGCCGGTAAATTCCCGAAAGAGTGGGCTGGCAACTGAAGGGGGACCTAAACTTAAAATATTGAATAGAATTCCAGAGTTGCTATTCCGGAGAACTAGACCATCAAACACATGCTCATTTTGAACATCAAGTTAATGTCCAAATTACGGTCGCATGATTTAATTTATGAGCCTACTTAGCAGTTATACATAGATGTATGCAAGTAACTTCAATATCTCAATACATTTTATAACCAGATACAAGCAAACACGGTAGGTTAGGTAAACCCAATACCCAGTTATTTTAGTTCTTACAAACTCCTACAACTCAATGTTTCGAAAACGTTCTCTTTAGACGCTCAGTAGATGCATTTCGTACACGGTAGGTATAATAAGTAATTCTATATTTAGACTTATGTTTATTTTATCAGAATTCATTTCTCTCTCAATCAATCTACTGGAGTGTGCAGAGGTTCAAAACTGAGCTTGTAAATAGACGAATATATATTTGGCTTTAGGTACCTCACCAGTTTTGTTAGTAAATTAGAATGGAATAAGTAAGGGTGACGGTACCAAGCGCTATTTGTACGAGGTCTTCGACCCCAAACGAATCGGCTGTAACGAGTAGGTACCTAAATACCTAGGTTGGCCTAAAATACCTCAGTGACCCCAATAGAAGATTACTTGTTCTTATCTGGAGCTCTGAATCGATTGGAACGAGCTATCCACACTTTCCGACAATATTGAAATGTTTATAGTGTTATACCTAAATAGATGAAAAGGTAGAAGAGAGAGACTGTGAGGAAATATTTCGTTCCTACGTCTTACGGTCTCAGCCAATGCATGCTGTAGTACTAGTACGCTATTCTGGGCAATTCGACAGAAACCGTTTGTGATTTATATGTTATAAACATGATCAGTGAATAACCGAGAGCGAGTTATTGTGACTACCAACAGCCAACAGCTATATTTAGAGTAACTGCTGGAGGCGCTTGCATGAACACTCAAACATTGCCGATGTACCTACGTCGAACGATGGTCGAACGTCTTGAAATAACATTTGAAGTCTGTTGATGATGATAACAATGTAAGTTTCTTCCTACTTGCAATGAGATCATCTTTGTTTACTTTATCAAATTATGATGCCATTATAAAACATCACATAAAGACATCAAAAATAGAGTAGACATAGAAATAAATGTGAATTTAAAATATTCGCTAAACGTAGATTTGTATTTCTATTAAAACATCATAAGTGCAAGACAATCTACAATATTAAATGTGTTTTACGTAAAAATAAATCAATAGAGTAATTGTTTAGATGATGTCTTAAACTACTGTCATTATCAGACCGATGCGATGGTAATAGGAAATCGAGATTATTAATTATTTTTACTGTGCATTAAAATTGTAACTGTAAAGAGATTGGCTGAAATTGTGAATAAGTAAGGTACCTATACCATAGATAACAAACATTGTAATATGTCCAGTTAATTAGTGACCATTTGTGATACGCACTTAGCAATAAGTAGAGTGCGTGTGTGCACCACTGATATGATAAGAGTATGGATAAGAAACAACTAGGAAAAAATCGTGCCTACATAAACTTACTTGGTCACCTGTAATGGCGGATAGAACTAGGGATGTAACTTTTAAAACTGTAGAAATATCGATATTTTAGAATTGGTTTTAATTGACTTATCAATAAAATATCATTATTTTATGATTCATCTGGATTTAATTTTTATCTAGCTGCTAAACATTACCAACATATTAGCGAAATATATTTAGTAGTTGCTGCGTGCACTGTCACTCCAGTCGATCGTGCCTATACATTCACATCATAACTTTCACGATACTTATGTATCGAAATTCATGAAAAGGATTTTCCATCAACTGGTCAATATTTATATACTTAAGGTTAAGTAATTTTTGAGGGTTGAAAAATAAAACTATCAAAGTATTCATAAAGTCAAGATTTATAATATACAATATCTTCGTATTTTTCGTAGTGTTTCCCTGTAATGTAATCTGCAAAACCATCTTTCGAGAAGACTCCAGAACTGGTTCCAAGTTCATTTTCATGCACATATCTGGCTAGAGGCTGCAACATAAATAGTATAATTTAACTTACTTGATCCAATTGAACATAGATTTTTCTATAGATTCTATAGGTACTGTACTAAGCTCTGAACGAAAATGTTTGTACATTACAATGATAGTGATAGATAGCGGAGGAAAACAGAAACATATAGGTACAAGAACCCGGTTAGTTATGAACTTAATATAAATGTTAAATAAAATGTTAAGTTTGCACCTCTTCAAAAAATGCTTCCAAAACTAATATAACAAAACACATAATGAATCGTTTACATTATGATTTACCAATAGAGCTTGTAGCGATAGGGCCCCATCACGTAGATTTACTATTAATTTATTGTTCGGTTAAAACATTAATCTTCAAAATAAAGTTAACAAACAAAGATATGTTTCCTTCTAGTATCTATATTTCCCACATTAATTATTTCCAGCCAAGAACTTCTGCGTGGTTCAAGCACAAACTAAAAAGAAAATTTATAATATTATTAAAATTATCGGCAGAGTTCGACACATTCTAATAAATACTCTAAGAATACCCTAAAGTTATATTTCATTTGTTTGTTTCATTTGAATCCGTCGAGCGGCATTTGATAAAAAAATCAATTTTGACAAAAATGCATTTCCCACAATATTATTCCTTATCTCATATTGTACAAAAATTATTCTCTATTGTATTAATTATTTATTACATTACGTAGGTATTGACGATGGTGGAATTTTGTCGATAAAATGAAATTTTTGACGAGTACTTAATGTTTTTTGTATTTTGTCATTATGTCAAATTAATGCACTTTATCATTCAGAATTTAGTATAGTTCTTTGTTCTACTTTTGACGCATTTATTATGTACGATAAAATTATCGATACGGGAACAATCATGTACATCACTATTTTTTAATGAAAATTGTTTTAGACGTATTTCAACTAAAATTAATGAAAATAAGCACTGCATTAGTTAGAAAAGTATTGTATTTAGTCAATTTGCAGCAACCACACTTGAATAGTTTGAAAAACAGAGATATTTTAATGAAAAATAAAACAGTACTTACCGATGTAATGTTACACCTGCCGGTTTAGTAATATTTTTAGTGCTACATCCAATAACACTGCACCCGGGCATAGTTCTTCTCACTAACCAATAATTTCTTTGTTTACCACGCACAAAAACAACAGGAATTCTACAAATTTTCGTAACAAAATATTGTTGACCAATGCTTTGACAGCTGATGTACCACTGACATGCACTGGTAACAGGGACTAAGATGGCCAATTCGGCACAACTACGTTTTTCTGATGACGTCAAAAAATTATGGCCAGAATGACAATAATGTGTTGTCTCTTTCTGCATAAGCAAAGAGACATAAGTAAAAAAGAAACAACAGTATGTTTATGAATTTACCGTCAAGATGGATCCTAAATTCTACCCGTAGACAATAGCCAGACATCTATATTATATTTATAAATCTATGGTGTGCACGCAACAGTCTTGTAATTAATTATCTATGGTACATAAGTTTTATAGGTGTAATACTTTGTTACAAATGAGTTGGCAGGCCGATAGTTTAAAGTCTATTAATGTGTTTATTAACGACGTAATTAAAACATCGTTAATTTTACTAGTTGCTAGGTACTGCCGAAAATATGACTTACAGAAACTGTTTGTCGACGACACGAAATTGAAATAAACTGGCTTTGGTAGAATATATCCATAAACAGTGGTCTTTTCAGGCAAATCCTTATACTATTATAAATGGGAAAGTGAGTTTGTTTGTTTGTTCCACTTTCACGCCGTAACTTCTAAACCGATTGCTTTGAATTTTTGCAGGCGTAAAGTTAGAAGTCCGGAATAAATAATAGGGTACTTTTTATCCTGGAAAATTTTGATATTCCCGAGGGAAAACAAAAGAATTGGTATAGATGGCGCTGTGTGTATTGGTATATGTCACATAGGCTACTTTTATCCTTTTGCGACGCGAGCGAAGCCGCGGGCAAAAGCTAGTATAATATAAAGTGGACTCTCGGCGCCTTCAAAATTTTATTACTTAGTGAGATGTTGGTACGTAATGTCAATGTGTAACTTTAGTGTCCATTTGATGAAATGTACAAATGTAACGACTGCATCCTTTGGACCCATCAGTCACTATGCGAAAACTTTTTAGGAAAGCGAACGATCAGAAGGTAGTGTATATATATAACTGTCGCGGAGAACCTAATAGGTAACCGGGGTTTCGGCTCGACGTGCAGGAGAAGGAACGGGGTGGTTTTTAGTCAGTAAGAGTCTGACACTCCCTCCCGCCTCACCCAGGCGGGAACAGTCATTCGATGATTTTGTCCCCTTAAAAAAATATACATATAAATAACTATGTTCTGGTAAATGATGTACTTGGTTGGACTACCAAATGTAAATTAGGATCGATTGTTGCTAGCATATTGTTCAAAGACAAATTTGTCAAATAGGTAACTGGGAAGTAATTTGTCAAGACAAGTCTTCATAAAATTAAAGGACAATGCCAGGTGCTCAGTACATCTTTGACCCACTATATTAGAAGTCATGTACAAGTATGTAATATTCAGCATCGTGTAGTGTATTAATTACCGATACCTAAATATTTGTCCTGAAACCTGTAAAACTTGCGGTTTTTGTTTAAAACACAAAACAATAATGATAAATAACGCGAAAACAACGGAAACGCAGAGAGCGAATGAAAGATAATATTGACACTGACAGCTGACAACTGACAAGCGCTGCAAAACGTTTCGTTACACAAAAAAAATCATAAGTAAAGATAGTAATCGTTTCTTTTATATTTTCGTGATTTCATCTGTTATTATTCATAAATAAATAAATGTTATACATAATTATACTTTTGATAAAATATTTTATGTATAATGATATCTTTTTTACAGTTCCTTACTTTTTTATTTTCATAGTTTCGTACAAGCGATGCGTATGATGATGAAACGCAAATAGTCATTAGACAATATAGAAGACGCATTGCAAAAAAGTATTTCCGGGATTGAACTTCTTTTTTTATTAGATTGGAAACCGCCGCAAGTTTAAAAATAAAAAAAGATATTGTGAAAAGGTTCCTTATTCGGCAAAATTATTTTCATCAATTTACTTTTTTTGTAAATGATATTAAGACTGGGTCAGGATCTGGCATTGTCATTTATAATTTCATTACAATCATAAAACAACCTACTTGAATTTTGGCCAACTGCCTACAACCATGGACTAATTAATTATGTTCACGCTGCAACTTGCATAATGTTGCAGCCTACATAAAATAAGTCCATTTAATAATTTATTTATAAAATGTCCCGGCTATAATTTATGTTATTATAGAGGTATATTAACATAGATAAGCCTCTGAGACGAGTCTTGAATTGAATAATCAACAATGTGAACAAAGGCACAAGGTAAATGAGCCGTAACTACATTTGAAGTGAATGTATCTAGATATTTTAGTGTTAGTTAATGTAAGAATTGTCAGCCATTTACATTCAAAGTGTTGAGAGTGAGTTGCTGTAAGGAAAAGTTCTGAATTGGGGTCAAAGCTACACTGCAGTGGTATTGGACATACCCACAATAGAAAGTAGGTTGAAACATGTAGTAACTTAGTTAGCACTTTACTTATCTTAAGTAAAAAGCTAACTGTATCGATTATGGTTGGTAGTCTCAGTTCTAGCTTAATAACGTTCTAGTTAAGTCAGTTTCTAGTTATTTATTTGGTTAGATTCTAGAGTTCTCTCTAAGTTATGAAATGTTTCAGTTCAGTGACACATTTACAAAAGAGTTATTTTATCTGAATGCACAGGTGAAAGGTGTGGGTCGTTAACGTTTATCAGCGTTATCAACTGGATATACCTGTGTGCAAACATGAAAGTTTAAAGAGATAAGTAGGTTAGTACCTCCAATTACAATGAGCTTTAAAAACAACTTCACGAGAAAGTAAGTGAATATCAGTATTCTAAGAAGATGCTTAGTTAAACCACAACTTAGTTACATAATTCTATATCAGATTTAGGTAACTAAGTTGTGGTTGAAGAATGATATTTTGATGAATCTCCCAACAACCAGGTAAGTCATCATCATCAGTCTGTACCCTCTACTATAAATATCCCACTGCCGAGAAAAAGCTTGTTCTCACAGGGAGAAGAAATGAGCATTCATCGCCACACTTGCTCAAGGTGGGTTGGCGATTTCAAACTATACAGTAGGTACATACTTAATGAAAGTATTCATCTACAGCAGTAATGAGAAGTAATCAAGACTGGTGACTGGCCCGCTGAGATAAACTGCAGTAATTTTGATGGTATATTGACATAATTATGTAATTGTAAGTCTTGTAAAGTGTTGTTCTGTTATAAGAGTATTAAAAGCTGAGGAATGCACTAACACACGGGGTTCATGGTCCATCGTCATATTATGTAGTATAGATACAACGAACTCGTGTCTGGAACATCTCGTATGGTATCTGTACGAGTCGATGCGCACACAAACACGAGTGTGGAGGAGTACGGGGAAGCGTGTCGGTGGTGTGACGTACCGGTGAGGGGCATAAAGCATGTGGGCATTGGTGTGGTGCTGGTTTGCTTCTCTACTGTGTGAAACACCTTGCGTTGCGCATACTGCGCGTCCTTGGGCTCCCAGAAGAACACGTAGTAGAGCGAGAGCATGATGGCAGCCAGCGACACGCAGAACACGTACACGATGACGGTGAGCACGCGCACGCTCTTCTTGTCGCGCTTGCGCTCGTACAGCGCGTCCAGCACGACCTCGTGCCCGCCCGCCGTGCCCAGCCGCACAGAGCCGCCGCACGAGCGCACGCTGCCCGAGGTGCAAGACTTGCCCGACATCGCCGGCTTCGCCACTACCCACTGCCGCAGCGCTCGCCGTCGCACGAATCCAGGTAACTGGGACACGCTTATTGATATGGCCCAGTTCTCCTGATGCGCCGCGGCCGAGTTACCGTGCCGGGTCACGCCGACCGTGTCTGCCGCTTGACACCTCCTGATGCCGACTGCTGTTTCATTATTATGGCGCCCGCTTCGAAATTCATTTGTTTATCCTTTAATTTCACGCTCGGTAAACGTAAATCTATTCCAGTTCCTCTGACGTAGTCATACGATCGCAAATCGTCTGTCATAGAAACGTCCCTGAACTTTCATTGTTTTTGCATTTTATAAACATTGTTCACATTGTTAAGTTTTATTTTACTACCTGAATACGACAATAGGCACAACTTGTTGAAAACTAGCTGTCACGTTGTTAATCCCAACACATTCGTAGAGTCGAGTCACACGATGTCACGAATGCCGACGCCGAAGACAGCACACACCTCGTTATTTGTTTCGCATGAGAGCGAGAATAATGGCGAGGTAACGAAGTTAATTTACGCGAATGGTGGCACGTTATATTGTGACAGCGCGTGAAGTGTCGCGGCGCGGGGCGGGCGGCCCGGCGGCGGCGGGTCCGCGTGTGCCGAGCGCGGCGGGCGCGCGCCGCTCCGCCGCCGCGCCGCCAGCTGCCGAGATCAATAATATGCAATATTTTTCTTATTTTCTGCAATCATCAATTTCTCTTCGTTGAATCATGCGTCATGCGGACGCAATTTTCTTGTAAGATGATAAAATGTGTTTATGGCATTGTATGGTTTCAAGCACACTAATCTGGTGTAGGTGAGGGATGTGGAATGAAGCTGTAAAATATATATAGAAGATGTACCGTAAAATTTGTGAGAGGCCAAAGTATTAAAATTGTTTATAGCGTTGTTTTCTACAGTAACAGGTCCCACTACATTTTAGTGGTTATACTTAGTAAGATTCATTGCCTCGTGTTCTCTGGGTGTGACTCGCACAGACGTACAGCAGCAGCTCCAATTTGTGAGTGTTTATTACGTTTTTGTTATTCAGAGCACGTAGCAGAGCACAAATCGGGATATTTACCCGTTCCTACGTGTCTCAACGGGGTACTTTTTACAAATCAGCCCGTTGAAATGAAACAGGCTTAAAATACGGTGAATAGTAACGAGGCTGATTTACGATTTGAAATAACCGTTTGTGCACAGTCTCAGGTTGTAGGTTAAATCTTTATGTCGAGTTTAGTGTAGAGGGGTATATAGAAGTGGCTATATAAACACCGACGTGCAGGTATTTGTCATGTAACATGTGCTTTCTAGAACCTTCTACCCTTGTCCACCACGTACCCGAATACAGTAATTAATGAATTAATTTAATGAGCGCTCATGCTGGTTATCATAATACATAGTAGGTGCTTTATACCATTAATTCATTAATGGAATAGATGGAACACTACAAACATTAATTCCATCAAATACCCATATTAATTTGTTTTGGCTCTTTAGCAAACGTTCTGCACAATAATGTTATGGGGTGTGTCTAGTATATACACTGACAACTAGTCACTGGCACTAGAAGTGCGTTACGTCTCGCCTTATATGTCGACACTTCTACAATGTAACCACCGCTTGCCACCAGTATGTATTAAGTCCTTACCCCGGATTCCATATTATTTCTAAGAAATTCTTGGAAACATAAAATACCCCAATAAAACCCGACCAATAAAATCGAACTCGAGACCCCTTACTCAGTCGCATTCACCAAAAAATCGGATCAACCAGGCAAATTTTGTATTGACCCGACAAAAAGACTAAATATTTTCACCTAATATTTTCACAATAAACTATTAGGATTGTATAATACATAAGTACTACTTATACTGTTTGGGAGATTTGTACTTTGGATTTGAAACAATAAATACAAATAAGTATGACTTCTAAACTAGAAGATAAATGTTACACACTTCTTTCAAAACCATTTCGCGTATAACCGTCAATGGACCCAGCTACGGCGTAGCGGTCGTAGCACATCTTACGACTCCGTAGTATTAACACAACTTTGTATAACTTATGGCACAATTATGTGATACTTCCTAGAGTCTAAAGGGTGGTTCTGACTGTCCATCAAGTAACTGTTCAAGAATTCGTGTTAAAAGTCCTGCGCGCTACAGGAATACGGTAGACCCTAGGGCTACGGCGTCTGCTACGCCGTAGCAGGGACGTACGTACAATTGAAATTTGGAACGTCTATATACGTATAACAAAAAGATATGTTTGAACTTTCCAGGAATGTTTCGGAGTTTTAACATCCTCTGTATCCATGTTACATCTTACGCCTATATTCTTTGTCTTATTGCAAAGACGCTATAAAACACACTGTACTGACAGTGTCTTTTATAAAAATGCTACGAACTATTTTTAGTAATCATAAAGTGTGGCAACGATACTTTAAAAAATATACAATATATTATGTACCAATGTTATGTAAATTACTTCTCTAACCTATAACTTCAAAAACTTATTTGCGTGTGTAGATCTTTCCGAGCCATGCAGCTGGAGCTGCCTTGCTACGGCGTAACTCTTAACAAATGGCTACGTTATTTTACTTTGAATGTTATTTTTAATGTAAATATCTATTAACACTCGCGGATGTGTTCGATTTATTTGGATGATCAGAAACAGAAGCAGATGTGTTCACTTGTAACATTGAGAGATGGCACTCTGATCTATTACCACCACATTTCTTAAGACGTTTGATTGAAACGTTTCTTGTTTGTAATAAATGTTTTTTTTTATTTGAAGATACGCGCACCTTTAAATATCGTTGTTGATATTATTTTCTTTGTTTATTAGCATGTATCGAAAGCTAGTTAGTATACGTAATATTCTGTATACATGTTTGTGTAGCAAAGTCTCTCGGGAGCTCGATGGAACGTAATTTCATTTGGCGCTCCCTGGGCAGTCTACAACTACCACAATACCATTCTTTGGTAATTGACTGTTTTTCTATGAAATCCAGTTCGATGAAACAAATTATATAAACTTCTAAACTAAAATTATAAAGAGTAAACATTTGTGCGTTTGTATGTATGTATAAATATATATTTGTAATATTTTTACACAAAAACTACTGGATCGATTTCAAACATTATTTTATCATTAGAAAGCTTCATTATTAATTAGTAACATTAGGCTAATTTCAATTTAAAAAAAAAGCTGCCTATGTCACAATTCCACGAGGATGAAGTCGCGGGCAGAGTCTAGTTACATAGTTTATATTACGAATATATCAAATTTTTGACGTTTCTCAATAAGTCTAAGTAGATATACGTAAAACAATTTCCTGAGATCTAAACGATGTTTTATGGAATCGATTTAAGAGAACGGAAAGTGAAGTAAATTAACTTCGATTTTCCTTCAACTTCCCACTCGTTTCCAACCCAAGAGAAATTGCCTCGTAACGTCTAATTAGTTTTAAAGTCTCGCTCCTGAAACTTCTTCGATGCTAATAAATGAGAAATTAAAATATGGTAGCTTATATTGGCATAATAAATTACTGAAATAAAGTTACTTCTATTGTTTAGTTAAAGTATCCCCACTAAATTACTAATGCTGTAACCCAATTCTGGTAACCCGTGTTTCTCCGAAGTGATCGTGATCTTGTAATCGAACCGACCGAGAGGATAAAAGGATCAGAGTATTTGTGAGGATTCGGGGAAGGGAGATATCGCTTAACTACGTGCGAGCAATGTTCTATTCGAGGCTATTTAAGCATTTATGTAAATTCAATTAATTGTTTCAGAAAACGTATTACATGTTCCAGTGTAGGGCCAATCAAGTTATATTAATGCTAATAGGTGTTTGTGATATGATATCGAGTTTAGCTTATTCCACATTGTTACGTATTCTTTAAATGTAAAGCTAAAATTTTTTTAAATTATAAATTCCAACAGATATTTGTCTTGCAATTTAGTCTTAAGTGTCTCATTGAGAAGATCTTTGGAAATAATAGAAGTAGTAGGTATAGATAGGGAACCTACTACAGTAATTTATCGACAGTAATTTTTAATTTCAAACAATAGTTCTTTATGTCCGCCACAAAATGAACACGTAAATATTCGTAAAGCCAATATAAAAGTCAACGGAATGAGGTAATTGATGTTCAGTTTTGGACACAATTGGGTTAGGCTAATTGGATTACAGGAAACCCTTCATGTAAAACCTAATAGTATACGGATGTTTTGCGATGGTTCGACTTCATACTTTAAATAAGCAACACTACTTATATCAATATACGTATACGTGGACCTACCATCAATTAAAAAAGATTTAAATCAAAGTGGAATAGGACAGCAATCGTTAAATCTGGAAATGATTTACGTAGCTCTTCCTTGATTTAGTAATAATAAACATGAAATTGTTTGTTTACAATAAGATTTATCGTTAAACTCACTTTTTGTACTTATTACGAAACTGGTGTTTATGTTGCAGGGTACTAAATTATGAGCATATGTTTTCCAGGGTTTAAGTAAAGGGAATTTTCACAAGAATACTGTAGAAAGTACACAGTGTCACCGTAGAGTGGTATGAAACTAGTATTAGCAATGAATTGAATAACAGTTTTTATATTATATACGTTCTCGTTCAAAGTAAATTGACTCTCAGAGATTACTATTGAATGAGTAACGGATAAAACCAGATATATTATTTTATTTACTCATTGGCAACCACGAGTCGGGGTAGGGCTTATTTTTAGTTGGGAACACATGGCTTAAACGAACATACCAGATTCTGTACAAGGTCTGTTTCATGATAATGTTCCACTTGTATAAACCCACAAAACATTTACTATCGTCTTGGACGTATATATTAATTCCCAGCGTGTCGACATACCCCAGTGCAACACTTGATCCCTTCACTTAAGTAATTATAGTGAATTCATCCAATTAGGTAACTAAGTAATTAATTGAAACCACGCGCTATTTCGCCTTTTCACTTCATCCTTGGAGAATTCCATCTAGGCACGCCGTATTAATGAAAAAACATTTCGTTTTAAGTTAAATTAAAAAGAGCTCCCTGACCAAATATTTGTTAAAATGTTGATAGAATTAGGTATTATTACCTATTTCGGGAGAAGTCATTGGATGATTTTCCACCCTCAAAAATAGGTATTACCTATTTAGTGTTAGATATATTATAGTATTGTAACCTAGACGAAGTTTTCGTAAAATGTTAGTTAATCAGTAAGTAATTCAAGTTTTTAAGGTAGTTCTGTTTACGCGGCGTTGCTTATTCCTTGTCGTATGACAAGGATGAATATTTCAATATTGTTTTTAGTGTTTTGTGAACTGAAAGAATTCGAGAAGTAGTGGACTCACCAGCAGTGTATGCAGTTGGTACTGCGTGATGCACTGGCTGATAGTGATGGTGATGGTGGAATGTGGTGTTGGGGCCGGTGCGGCGCGCGCTCACCTCGCCCACCTCGCCGGCAGACTCCGGCGCCCGCCACACCACCACGTAGTACACAGACAGCAGGATAGCAGCCAGAGACACCGACAGCAGGTACGCCAGCACCGTCAGCACGCGCACTAG